TCGCCAAAAGGGGCCGTGCTCCTTCCGAGACAAGCCTGCCATTTCCGAATGCCTTCACCTCTTTCTCGTAACGAAGTTCCCATGTTTACGGGACCGTACCGGTCAGGTATCACTTTGGTGGTGGGTGGAGGAGGAACCTTCTTACGACGCCCTTGTGGTGGCGTTAGAGGAGCTATGAGAACGCTTTTGAAGGTCTCCGAAATTGCTTTCTTGCAAAACTTTGTGTTGAATGACCCGATAGCATATGCTGATATAAGTGTAGGGGAATATTATTACAACAGTCTTTTGAGCGCTCCAGTTGACCAACGTGAATTAACCAGTCCACCTCGCGCGGCATCGCCCTTGGTGTTTCCTTCAGGAGGCGTTGGGTTGCGTGGCAATGTGCCAGGCAATCCGCAGCGGGTATTCCAGCCGCGGGGTGGGCCGGGGAAGCTTTCTGCTCGTGCAGCAAGGCTGAACTCTCGGAAGTTTCCAAGTTTAAATGCAAATTGTGACAACAAAAAAAGCCCCAACTTGACATTTGTGTATCAAGTAGAACTTAATTGTTATTTGTGTTGGCTTTTCAGTGGCAAAGCTGGCTTTGAGTCAGTCATAGAACGTTTTGGGTTGGGAGGGCCCCCTAGAGGTCACCCAGCCCAACCCCCTGCAGGGAGCAGGGACACTGCTAACCGAATTGGGCTGCTCCCAGCCTCATCCAACCTGGCCTTGTCCAAAAGCGTTCTGCCTGGTGAAGGTACTTTGCTTTACCTGTTTCCAAGTGCCTTCTGTCATTACCATTTTTAGAATATTTTAAAAATACTCTGGAGCCATCTGATGCAGCTTCACCTGTTTCACAAGTGAGGCTCAGGCGGCCACAAGGACTTGGCGCTGCCCAGAAGCTGCAAGGTCGGTTTTCCAGCTGGGAATGCCACTCGGCTGCATTTATGCCCCTTACTGCATTGCATTTTTTTTTTGCGTGTACAGCACAACCAGAGGGGTTCGGGCGGGCGGGCAGCAAGTACCGGGTTCTTGTTTGCTTCCTCGCAAAGCCCAAAAGAGAAATTTTCCTTGGGAAGCTGATGCCGTGAGAAGCCGTCGCTCGTACTGATCTGCGACGTGGCTGGGGAAATTCCCAGATGCAGGTTTTTCAGCCCGGAAAGAGCCCCAGTGCCGTTTTTAGGCAGCGAGACTTGGCAGTGATTAATATTTCTGCAACGCAGAGTTGGGCGACAGCCTGCTCCTGCAAATCGATGGTGATTTCCATACACCGTCGGCCTGCGTTTGGGGTAATTCAGTTTTACTTCTGCTACCTACTGGGTTATTTTTAGCATTTTAATTCCCTTCTCCCGGCTTCAGGAAAACAAGCGTCGCTTTTGGTGTAATAGGCAGGGATGGTGGGCAGGGCGGGTCCCCACTCTGATAAATCCCACCCTAATAAATCACAGAGTTGTCGGGACCCGGTTCATAACAGGCCTGCCGCGGCTCTGCCTTCGCGCGGGCTGCGGAGGGGCGATGCTTCGTGGCACCCACGGTGAGCCCGGACTTCGGGGAAGCTGGACCCAGCCCAAGTCCTAAGGACGTGCCAAGGTAGCAAAAAGCAGAAAAATAAGTAACCCGGCTTGCTTTCAGCACAGGCACCGCGTCTCGGAGGGGACTCTTCTGCCATTTATTCACCTCAGCTTTTGCTGATGCTGGCCGCTAAAGCGGGGGATGCAGATTGCATTAGCGTGGTTAGAAATCACTTCTCCCGATTGAAAATGCACTCACAGCAGTCGTCGTTTTCCTCTGTTACTTTTGCAGCGCTTTTTGCTGGCTCCAGAGTTTTGAAATTTCCTGAGAAATTCAATTTGTTATGTTAAATGTGGGCTCGTGCCTGGGCTGGAGCGGAGGGTACCGGGCTGCAATGAGATTTAGAGGGAGCATGGCAGGAAAGCCTAACGCAGTTATTGTTTCAGCAAAACTGCCTGGGGTGGTGCAAAAACGAGAAGAAAGGGCATCGACCCATCCCCGCGGGGAAGGGGACTGCTGGCGAGGTCCAACCCTGCCCGGCGCTGCCTCCCCGCCCCGCCGCCCATCGCCCGAGCAGCGCGCCCGGTCCTTACCTGTCCCTCGGTCCAGCTTAAGGAATGTATTTTATCTCTGATAACTTTATCGGGGGCTTCTTGAAGATAGGTTAGGATCTTGCAGTATGTTAATTTTGTATTAAAGAATTACTGGTAAAATTAATTGAATCACTTAATTTTCAGGTAAAAAATAGGGTAATAAATATTCATAACTTACTTTATTAAGGGAATTTCCATTTCCTATGTCATTGAAGTGAGATTAACCGAGGCTGGGCTTAAATGAAGATTGAAAACAATTGTGCTTTGGAATCAATTTGCTGCGCGATGCCATTACCTGGCGAGGTGGCTTCCGACGCGCTGGGTGCCAGAGCCGTCCTGCCGTGTTGGGTCGGTGCTGCGGCTGGGAAATGAGCTGGGGGCCCCGTGTTGAGGAGAAGCTCGTGTGGGCTGGAGGCTGTGAGAAGGCGACCACCCAGCACTTGGATCGATGGCAAAAGTTCTGCCCATCTCCCCTTCTGCTTGTTGCAAACCAAAAGACTCTCGAGACCTTGTTCAGACTTTGAAGGCGTGTTTTAAAGATCCTTGCTTTCTCGTGTAGCTTGGGGCCCCTGCGGTTTCCAGGACCATCAGCCTCACCATGGCGCAGCGCCGAGATTTTGGGCTTCCTGCTCGGGCTGCTGGAAGCTCTGTTCCCGCGCTGGGGTCGCGCACGACCTGTTTGTCCTTCATCGACGGCAGTGTGTGCGCCCTCAGCTCTTTCTGGCTTGGGATGCTGCTTGACATAATCCCCGCTACGTGTGGCACGTCGCTCTCGACGCTTTAGAGATTTCGTGACTCTCAACGCTTTCCTCTCGCC